TAACATAATGAAAGCGATACTCGCAAAATTATACTGCCGCTAACTTGAACTACTGTGTGATCTTTTTCTTTCATTCCTTTTAAAAAAATGCTTATTTATTGATCAGCTCATGTTATGTAGCAAGTAGTTGATTATGTAGATGGGCTCTCCGTAAAATCAATATGAATCCAGTTAGTGACACAATTAAAGTGAGATGTAAGTGTTGGACAGTTCTGTTGGCCCCCTAGTAAGGATGAATGTTGTGCTTAGTGATTGTTCACTAAGTGTTAGTGATTAAAGATCCTTAGCATCAAGAAGAGCTTAGCATTCTGTATCTGTTGCAATAGTTTTACCTTAGGTTTCAGTTTAATCTTGTCACCTTTTTGAGAGGACCCCTCAAACTGAGTGGCGTTGTGACCTGGCACACAGGGTTGCTGTGTCACTCACTGAAATTTGGCCCAGTGGCCCCTCCATCATGATAGAGGGGCAGCTGGGTCAAACCTGAGTGGTTCTGTGACCCCACGCACCAGGTCACAATGCTTGGAGCGGGAAGCTGGGCCCAGCTTCATGTGACAGTAGCGGAGCCGCTGCTGTGGAGTGAGTGCGGTGTGGACTTGCTTCCCAGTCGCACCCCAGTCCAATCGTACTAGCCTGCCTTTTTAGTATGTACAAGAGTAAAGATAACAGGCCAAATTTAGCCCTAGTGTAAGGGAATGCAAATCATTGACTGCCGTAGAACTGCGAGCAGGTGGACTTCGCACCCTGCTAAGAAAAGAATTTACGCACTCTGGATTTAATCTGAGTTTACCCCATCCAAGTGTTTGAATTATTGGCAATTTTTCAATAAAACATAGACAGCCTAATCTTTTTCCAAACTAGGCTGTTCCCAGTGCTTAATTTGTAATGAAAGAGATACCGGGGCTCAAGCAAAAAGGTGCCGAGGTTCAAGCAGAAAGCTCAGAAGTGCCAGGGCTATGAACTGCCAAGCCTAAAGGTGCCAGTGCTCAGTCCTGGCATAAATTAAGCACTCTCTGTTCCTATGGCTTCCCTACAGAGAGACCAACCCACCATTCCTCTCTCTTGTAGGCAACAGTTCCTTCTACTCAAAGAACCAGTCCCGCTTTTCCTATATGATGGGTGTAATTAATAATTTGCACCTGCCGTTATGAGTCAGCAGCTCCCTGCAGGGTTATGACACCTGCCAGGAAGATGGCTCAGTGGAAAAACACTGCCACCCTATTGCAGGAGTTCTGCCGGCTTACACAAGGGATGAAATTGACCTAATGCAACGTCCTACTAAGCAGCTGGATTTTTATTAACTCTCATTTTTGCAGCAATACAATATTGAGTAACATTCTTGACTTGAAAATGTTTGAGTTGCCATGTTAACATTGAGTTGATTTGCACCTGCTGATTCACGGTTTAGATTTTTGGATGTTTTGCTCTGACTGAAGTCAGCCATGGCAGCAATACCAAGGGCATACGGACAACTGCCAGATACGACCCCAGCACACAGGTCAGTCTGTAACCCACAGAAGTGACATTTGGTACTTTTTTGTTTACATTCTGTTATAAAGATATCGGGCCAAAATGATTCTATGATTAACAATAATTAATACTTCTCTTGTATCTAGCACTTGTTAGTAGTAATAAAGCTGTGTGGGAACTGGAATTTCCATCCTACCAAACAAAATTTGCTTTAAAAAAAAATCATTCTGAACTGGAACAAAAGGTCAGATATATGAAATTTTCCCTGTTTTCAAAAAAACTCTCTGTTGGAAGAACCAAAACCAGTTTTGTTTTGTTTTTTAATTTCTGTGTCCAGCGCCTGAAGCAGCTGGCTCCGTGGCAGCCTCCAGTGAGGCTGCGCAGAAGCTGTCCAGCAAGTTATTCGGTCTCAGATAAAATCAGGAGCATTTTGCATTCACAATAAAAACCCGGAGACCATTGTGTGTCTCCATGGTACTCCCTCCCCTCATCATGTTATAAGAAAGCTGAGAGGCTGAATTTTAGGCCTCAGGTTGACAATCATGCTGTTGTTCTGCCCTGACTTTTCCCTAGACACATGTTCTAGAATAAAGCTTAGCCCTATAGATTCCTGTCAAATCCGCTTTCATTGTTGTGAGCATGTTGGATTGAAGTACAGTATGAAATGCTGGCAATATTCAAAATGTTACAGTGGCAGCAAACAAAAAGAAGTGATGAATGTACATTGATTCATATGATTTAAGACTTCCCCCTTTTTGACTGTAGAAATTTATCATCAACACTCCTGATTTTGAAGCTGCCAAGTTTTGGGTTGGCAACATGGGGAAAAATGCCACTCATGCTGTCGTCTACGCCCAGCTGTACACTCCTGATGGGCAGTGCCACGGATTACATTCCTTTGTTGTGCAGGTAGGAAAAGAGTACTACTTTGGTTTTTTTATGTCACTGTTATGACATATTATGTCTGCTAAACAATTTCTGTAAAAATGTCTTTAACATTTTCTACCAAACTTCAGAATTTATTTGATCCCTGTGCTTTTGAGGCAAGAATACAGTCGAATTAATTGTAGCAAATTGCTATAACTAGAAAATACAGATGAACCTCCATATTATTGCATCACATATGCAGTTTGAAATAGACTACAAAGTGTGAAATACTTTAGATCAGGAGCTCCTCAGAGCAGAAAATGTCCCTAAGTGTTTGGAAAGTGCCTAACACAAACTGGACGAATATTTAATAATAAATACAATGAGAATAATTGAGAGTATATGTTGGATGTAATGCATGTCCAAAGCCAAACAGTGGAAACACTCCCATTGTTTTCAGTGAACGTTAGATCAGGTCTCATTTTCTAATGAGGATCCTCATTGCTTGCACACTTCATCTGCATTGACTTCTGTGGATCTCCCAAAGGGGCCAAAAACATGGTAATTAATTCTAGCATCATTTTTTGAAATGTCAGATTTCTGGGATGAATGAAGTGGGTATAGATTTTTTGAATTGTTTTTTGAACATTACGTGTATGAAGCAAAAAATGGAATTTATGGACAGAGTTGTGACATTTCAAGTGGCAACATGTATTGCAAGTGAAACGAAAGGCAAACACTGGCTTTCCAACTGTGACATACTACTAGACTGTGCCAGGCCACTGCTAGGTTATGGCAAGGTAGAAACTGAGCATATAATGCCAACTGAAATGTGTATGCAGGATGCCACAAACTGCTCAAATCCCAGCTGTTTACATCATCTTGAACGATAATGGGATTGAATCAGGGACCTACAAAACTCAGAGAGCGAGTTTTCTACAGCTTGCGCTAAAGAATCAGGCTCTGTAACTCGGGGCAGTATCAGACTCACATTATCTGTGATTTGGGCACAGAAAGGGTTGCCTAGCACACACTGACCAGTGGGTTATCCTTGCATTTGGAATGTAAGCCCTAGATGACAGTAAACATGGCCTGATCGAAAACAGAAAGGTCATGTGTCCTTTCACCTATTTGTGAAACATGATATTTTGGAAAACATTGTCTTGCAACAATAGATGGAGCTACAATAAGGTGGGTGCAAAACTGGTTGGAAAATCGTTCCCAGAGAGTAGAAATCATTGGTTCACAATCATGCTGGAAGGGCATAATGAGTGGGGTCCCGCAGGGATCAGTTCTGGGTCTTATAAACTTATAAAGTTTGTGGACGATACTAAGCTGGGAGGGGTTGCAAGTGCTTTGGAGGATAGGATTAAAATTCAAAATGATCTGGACAAACTGGAGAAATGGTCTGAAGTAAATAGGATGAAATTCAATAAGGACAAACACAAAGTACTCCACTTAGGAAGGAACAATCAGTTGTACGCATACAAAATGGGAAATGACTGCCTAGAAAGGAGTACTGCAGAAAGGGATGTGGCTGTGATGGGTTGGATCACAGAAACCCCCTTGGGAGCTGCCACCCGATGTGCAAAGACTACCCCTGCTTCTGTTTTCCCTGCCAGCTCAGGACTCCAGCACCCTGTCTTGCTGAGCCAGACACTCCCGTCTGGCTCCAGACACAGATCCAGGGTCTGAATCTCCTATCCCAAAGCTGCAAGTTTACCTGAAAACAGCTTACAGAAGTGTGCTTGTCTTTAGCACTCAGATGCCCATCTCCCAATGGGGTCTAAACCCAAATAAATCCGTTTTACCCTGCATAAAGCTTATGCAGGGCAAACTCATAAATTGTTTGCCCTCTATAACACTGATAGAGAGATATGCACAGTTGTTTGCTCCCCCAGGTATTAATACATACTCTGAGTGAATTACTAAATAGAAAGTGATTTTATTAAATACAGACAGTAGGATTTAAGTGGTTCAAAGTAGTAAAAGACAGAACAAAGTAAG